GTATAGTATAGTATAGTATAGTATAGTATAGTATAGTATAGTATAGTTTGTCAGGGCCCCTGTTAAGCACAGTCCAAGGTAACCTTTCTGACCACAGCATTTTTCTGAATCTCTGTAAATAACATACACCTTGATTTCCAACAGCAATGTTTTCTCAAGAGCCATAGATCACTGACCATTTTAGCCTTTGTTTCCTTTCCACAGTAGTTACTGAGGACCCATGTGTACCACAGACCTAAGTAACCACGACTTCCTGCTCACATTGGTTTCTCAAGACCCTTGGGGTATACAGAACAAACTAGCTTTGACTTTGTTTCTACAATGGTTTCTCTGTACCTCTGTGGATCTCAAACCAATGTAGTCTTGACTTCCTAATCCTACAATATTTTCTCATAAACACTGATTTCTCAACCTCAACACTTAAGTACCCTTCTTGATCATAAACCTTTGCAGTCTTGACTTCCTGGTCCAATGTAGCCTTGACTTCATGTCCACACTGGTTTTCCAATACTTTTTTGAAACACAGACCAATGCAATCTTTACAATATCCACACTGGTTTCTCATGTCCCCTGCACTACAGCCTAATGTAGCTTTGACTCTGTCAACAATGGTTTTTCAGGACCATTACAAGTATAGCCGGGGCGGCTGTGGCTGAGTGGTTAGAGTAGTCGTCCTCCAATGCAAGAGTTGTGGGCTCAAATCCACCAGCAGTCACATACCAAAGTGTCCCTGGGCAAGCCACTGAACCCCTCATTGCCTCCAATTTGTGTCCCATCAATGTATGAATGTGATAAAGCTCTGATTAGTCTCTTTAGAATGATTTGTTCAATCAGCTTTGTACAGATATAGTAGAGTGCTGTATGAATGGGTAAATTAGGCACAGATTGTGTTGTAAAGCGCTTTGAGTATCTTGACAAGATAGAAAGGCACTATATAAGTACAGTCCATTTACCATCCATTACTTCCTATATCTGACAAAAACTCAAATTGTGACATTGTGATTTAAGTGAAAATGTTTCATTATGCTTCAGTTTTATGGAGACCGCAGTTTAATTTGTGTAAACTAGAAAGAGATTTTAATTTTAATTTCTTACACATTTTCCATTTTTTAAATCTCCAACCTAAATGTTTGGATTTTATGTGCAATTTGGAATTATTTTACTGTTATGGAAAAAAGTGATTCACAAACAATCAGGTCAGTGACGTGCAGTGAGCTTTGTGACAGGTGAGGCACTGACTGTCTGGAATCGATGCTTACATATGACTGGTCTGTGACTGGTCTGAATGACTATCGGCCAGTGGCCCTCACCCCGATAGTCGCTAAATGCTTCGAAAAACTGGTCATGACTCACATCAAAACAACCATCAACATCAACGAGGACCCTCATCAGTACGCATACCGTGAGAACCGATCAACAGAGGATGCAATCTCCTCTGTGGTCCACACTGCACTCAACCACCTGGAGCAGAAAAACTCTTACGTCCGTATGCTCTTTGTGGACTTCACATCCGCCTTCAACACCATGATCCCCCAAACCCTGATGGACAAACTATCCACACTAGGACTAAGCCCCTCCATCTGCAACTGGGTACTAGACTTTTTAACAAACAGACCACAGTTAGTGAGGATCCACAACCTCTCCTCCTCCACCATAACCCTCAGCACTGGCTCTCCTCAGGGATGTGTGTTGAGCCCCCTTCTGTTTACTCTGCTCACATATGATTGTGCAGCTACCCATCCAGGCTGTCACATTGTAAAGTTTGCAGATGATACAGCGGTGGTGGGATGCATCACAAACAATGATGAGTCCAGCTACAGGCAAGAGGTGGAACACCTGGAGAGCTGGTGCAGAGAGAATAACCTTCACATCAATGTGAAGAAGACAAAGGAGATGATTGTGGACTTCAGAAGGAACAAAAACACCTACACCCCCCTGAACATAAGAGGATCTGCGGTGGAAGTGGTCTCCAGCTACAAGTACTTGGGTGTACACATGAATGACAACCTCAGCTGGAGCAACAACACCACCAGCCTGATCAAGAAAGCTCATCAGAGACTCTACTTCCTCAGACGGCTGAGGCGAGCTGGTCTGGGAAGCTCAGTCCTCACCTCCTTCTACAGGTGTGCAGTGGAGAGCATCCTGTGCTCGAGCATCAATGTGTGGCATGGAGGCTGCACAGCTGCAGAAAGAAAAGCTTTGCAGAGAGTGGTGAAGGCTGCACAGAAATCTGTTGGAACCAGTCTCCCCACCATCACAGACATCTACACCTCCAGATGCAGGAAGAGGACCACCTGCATCATGAAGGACCCCACTCATCACACACTTTTTGCCCCACTCCCCTCATGAAGGAGGTTAAGGAGCATTAAGTGTAGAACCACTAGACTGAGGAACAGCTTCTACCCTGAGGCTGTTAGACTCATGAATCTCTAACCAGAATAATCACTGTGAAAATCACATTATGTTACTGCTGATCTGTTTCATGTTGCTGCTGATCTGTTTCATGTTGCTGCT